GTTATGATATTGACTGAGAATCAAGCGAGTAACAACATGCAAGAATGTAGACAGTCCCTCAGGCAACTTCTTGGAGGGTTTTCCAGGCTTGTAGGTTTTGTTTCCTAGTGGACCTCATACTCCTGTTGAATCCTGCTTTTGCTTGATCCTACTGTCTTGCTGAGTGTGGCATGTCTCCAGATACAGCAAACTCATTTGAACCCACTTTGGCTGACACAATTCAGAAGTACAGAATTCAGGAAATCCTATCCCACTGACAGTGAAACAAAACTAACAACCTGGGCAGACCCCTGAAGAAAACACTGATTCAGACAAGACCCTCTCTAGAATTCCTTCTGTATGGACCAGCTCTATGCACTGGCTAATAAAAACAAACTTAATTATGAAATTCTATGGTTAAACAAACATAGGCCATGAAAACTTGTGTGTCATCACAAAAACCTGCAGGAAGTAATTTGTTTAAGACACATATGTGTCAATATCTGATCAATCCCTTAGCTTTTCTGGCTCCATCCTGTACCAATATGCAAGTGTGGGACTAGGCTTCAGTGAGTACAGAATCAGATTTTATGTTTACAAACCCTGAACTAAAGCTTAAGCATACAAATTGTCAGTGGTCAGGAGGCAGTGCTAAAAGCATAATTTCTATACAGTGCTCTGTATTTTCCAGTTCTATGCCATGCAGAGACAATTCATAAATCTGTGTAGGCTCTTACTATCTTTTAGATATATTTTTTGTTCCTTAAGCTGTGGTTTACTAACTGCTGGTAGTCTTAAAAAAAAAAAATGGTCCATGAAACTGTTTTTTTTGCTACTGCCCTTAAAGATATAAGGACCTTTTGAAGCTTGTATGGTAATTAAAGGACTGTGACAGTCTCGACTTGCTAAACTATACCACTTTACATATAATAATTATCTCTAGTTGTGGTTTTTTTCCATTGATATCCAATTTTTGAAGTCTGCAGTTAAACTCACCTAGCCTGACTATGCTCTTCAGGATTGCTTTTCTAAAATGTCTAATTTTTTAATTGGAACTGGTAAGTTCAACTGGCTGAACTAAGACATCGGTTGAGGATTTTGTTTATGGTCTGAAAGTGGATGCTCATTTGTTTAATGTGACTGAACTTTGCTTGTCAATATGTATTCTGACTTTCTGTATATTTTGTCTAGGCATAGACAAAATATTAATTCATTTTAAATTAATTTTAAAAATATTAATTAAATTTAAAAAATATTAATTACTATCAGCACATTTGTGATAAACTAGATGGAATGCCATTGTTTCTTCAATACAGGAAAAAATTTTTCAGCTCTTTAGATATTCTGTGCCAGTGGGAAACGTGGGACTGAGCTGGAAATCACCGTGAGACAACAGTGGACAACATAAGGTTAAATGACAAATCACTGAAGTACAGAAACAAAGGAAGCAAAGTAGCTCAATTTCTCATTTCCTTTTCCTCTTCTGCAAAAAAATCAGAATGATAAATGCCAAGCAATAATGGAAAATGCTTGTAAGATCTCATTTTAACTCTCTTAAGAGCAAACCATGAAGGCACTTATCAGTGTTTCTCACAGTGAACAAATCTTGCCACAGAACTCACCATCATCATTGGCACAAACTAAGACTAGAGCTGATGGGCTCAGCAGAAAAAGTTGTGCCAGAGTAACCGGAGATGTGAGTGACAGTGATATCTTGTCAGTGTTTGAAATGAGACAATATGCAGTCCCATGGCAGTGCTTTTAATATTTCTACATGTTTTGAAAATCATTGTATTCATTATATTATTGAGGGAAGAGGATATTATGGCCTCTGACATCTTTCTGAGGGTTGTTGCCTCCTGCTGAGTTACTGTATGCTCTGGTCTCATACCATCAGCTGTCACATCCCAATATTGATTTGCCTCTGTGAGTGGTAACTCTCACCGTTTCACAGATCCCAAACTAAGTTCAGAGCTCAGCAGCAATCACCTATAAGCAGAGGCAGCCCTCAAAGGCTGATGTGGAAACTATACTTTAGGCTTATGGTTTCAGGAGCTGCCGTACATGGTATTTCTGGCCAAGACACAACAGCACACTAAAAGTACGATTAACATCAGGATTTTTGTGATTGTCTATTAACACTCTGATCAGCTCATCAGACAGATTTTATTGCCTTTTGGCATAATAACCCAGAAAAGAAAAAATAGACAAGAGTAGAGCTGACAATGAAACACAGTTCTGTGTGAAATTTCTGACAGATCTAAAGTCATCAGGACCTGGAGTCCAAATT